TAGTACTGGCCACTGTCAGAGACAAGATACTGGACTAGATGGCATGCTGGATCAGATCCAAAGTCCAATTCCTATGATATGTTTTCAGTAAGAATTGTGGATACTGAACACTTCTGAAGATCAGATTTGCAAACAACTCAATTTTGTACAGTTCTAAATGGAATCAAGGATATCTGGACTTTGAGATCCCTGTTCTATACACTGTATTAGACTAAAGGGAAGATAATTTCTGGAATACTGTGGAAAATCTCACAACATTCTTGTGAATGGATGAAAGAACCAATATCAAAAGAGTTTGGTAAAACGCTGGCTTTTTATAGCCAAGAATCATTTTTGTAACCAAATTTGAGATAGAGAAACTAAAGCTGGAAAAGTAGTTAGCGGGACAACATACATTTTCAGTTCCTTTCAAAATTTGAAAAATCTATTATTCAGACACCTTATGGAAAAGGCACACACTTGCACAGAGTTCAAAAACTAAGCATTACTCATAGCTCTTTCAGATGATGAAAAATGCAGAGTAGGCTGATAACACAACTCGGGTTTCTGCTAGGTATTGCAGCATGAAGAGGTTGCCTTTCAAACAGGACCTAAAGTCAATTAGGTCCATGTAACTGTTCAAAATTCATTAGAATGACCTTAGTCAAGCTTTGCTTCCATGCATGCTATGGTATATGATAAGATAGCCTAAAGCAACAGCAGCAGTCTGGTGGCACTTTCTAAAATGTTTCCAGTACTTGAAAGCAGTTGGATTTGTTAAAATTTCTAAAAGGATTATATCAGGATGAACAGTTTTTCTTCTTTTTTTACTTTCTCCAAGCCAGTACAATAATATTATATAGAGCTTTTCATCTTCAAAGATCTTTATAAACCTTAGCAATTCACAATAAGTTAATAGATGTAAAACTATAATAAAACACACTTGTTTTCTTGCTAGATTTTCTCTGTTAGTTGTTGGAATTAACTGTAAATGTCAATAACTTTTCTAACTGGAATTGTTCTGCAATTTGAATGTTAAACTCACTGCAAAGAGAGTATGGACAGATCTCACATACAGTCACAAACTGGAATAAATTAACATCTTCAGACTCTGCTAACCCAATGAAAGACCACAACATAGTTTTCTCTTTAGTGTATATAGCTAGTTGATTGCTGTTGTCATTATTTAAATCATAAGCAGGAATAATATCAGAAACAACAATACAAAATGTTACACTTAATCAAAATTAACCACATCTAATGTCTGTAGCAGATAAAAAAACACGAAGAAGCCATTTTCATCATTCTCCTTCTGTTCATTTTTTAACAGCTGCTGTAAAAGAATCTTTCAAGTCTCTCAGTTACACCTAGGTAATTCCACCACTTAACATTAAAGGTTCAATCCTGCCAACTGGCTAGAGCCCTCTGCTCCCTCTCACTTCAAGGGGAGTTTAAGACACCCACTAACTGGCAGGATTACATCCTTTGGGGTTCCATTCAAACAGTACATTACACAACTAGTCCCACTGACATAAGGGACTTCTCAATGTAAGAAAGGGTATCTGAATCCTGCCCTTAATGAAGAAGTTCTGTGCTCCTAAAGATTCCCAGACACCTCTGCCTATTTATTCCCAACAGCATGTGGGAAGCTCAAAGATTGATAGCCTGATCCTGCAGACCTTACCAATGCAAAATTCCTGTTGAAAGTTTTACATTAATAAAGTTTGCAGGATCTGGCTCTACAGAGAGCTTTCTACTCTCGAAATTATTCCAAGTGCCCCAGTTTGAACACTCTAATACTACTCAGCCAGAACTTGTTTGAAGCTAGAGAAGGTGGTCACGTTTTAGAGGGCATTAAAACCATTTCCTAATTGAGGCCTAATCCTGCAAGTCTTTCTCACACTGACTAGTACTTAGAATTTCCAATAAAGTGAATGGGATTACTTGCACAAGTAATTAGGCCTTCAACAGTATTGCTGCTGCAGGGCCAAAGGAAGGTGTCTCTCAAATGCCATTTGCTTTTTTTAATTTAAAAATTATGAAACAATTTGCACTTTACAATAATAGAGATATGATTCAATACCAGAATACCAGAAATCATATACTTTTTCTCTGTTAGTTTGCATCACAGTCAGAAGAGGTTTTTAAAAGATAGAAGATTATCTCCACTGTATAGCAGTGGAAATTAAGCTTAATGCAAAACCACCAAACAAATCAGGGTTGTTGTTAACAATACCACTTAGCCCTTACAGAACACTTTACAGCTACAAAGTGTCCTGTGACCATTAGTGCATACAATACCTCCATGAGGCAGGTAAACTTTATTATTCCCATTTTACAGATGGGAGCCTGAGGCATAGAGGTAAAGTAACTTTCTCAAGGCAGACAGTAAATCAGAGACCAAGCAGGAAAGGAAACTCAGGCGTTCCTGGCTTGCAGGCTATACCTTTTAACTTTGTAAACACCCTGGAATCTTTGGTATGGCTGAATGAATAGCAGACCACATACCTACAATAATAAAGAACAGGAGAGCAGCAGGTCATAAACTAAAAAAGTCTGCAAACTAAAAGCCACATACTTCCTTCTCACAAGCCTGCTGCATGTTTGTCTGGCAATTGATTCCAATATGGAATACGAAGGAACAGATTCTGACCTCCTAGTCTTTTTTTTGGGCCAATCTGGCAGCACAGAGGCCAGAAAACCACCTTAATTGTCTGCATGGGAATTCCTCCTTTGTAAGGAATCCCTGGGTGGCATAGGGACTCTAAACCACCCCTGTATATCTCCATGGTTCAAGGGCCTGGGAAGAGACAAGAGGGCATGGCTGGAGCCATAGCTGCAATTTGGCTATCCTGATTCCCTTGGGCTACACTAATGCACACCAGAAATTAGATCAGTCCCAAACTGGTCCGAGAAACCAGGTCTCACAAAAGATGCCACTGAAGGCCCCATACCCCCTTGAGCAGATGTAGCTTAGGATCTGTATTTAAATGTTAAGTTATCAGGCAGGGAAATTCTTAGTATAGGAACTGAAAGTAGAAGCATATTATGTTTAGTTTTAATACTTGTTTAATTTTTTACAGTCACATTTCCAGAAGGGAGTGAGACAACATTACTTCCAGCACTTAAAGAGGATTTTAGACCTTGTTCTGGAGTGATTTCACTTCCACCTCCACAAAATTGCTTATTTTTGTGCTATGCAACAGATTTGAAGTTTGTACAGTATATGGAGCACATGCTATAATTTACTTGGCAACACAAACCAGCTTTAATCCAGATGAAGAATCAAATGAGCAGATTGATTTGAATTAGCCCCTATAATTTATTAAGATGCAGAGTTTCTTTCGCGCTTTAATTTTTAGACTACTTGAGAAGAGAAAGAGTCCTTTCCCGTGGGCCACCTCTTCTCTCCCAGTTCCACACTGCATGATTTTCAAAATATTTCACTCTACAGACCACCAGGAAAGGCTACTTGAACAACATAGTTAAAATCACTTCACTAAGGAGCAGATTTTGTAGTGATAGTCAAGCAGAACTCCCAGTGGAGTCAGTACTGCAGGATTTAGCCTTAAACATCAACAAACAGATATACACCCAAAAAAGATATTCAATCTCCTTCCATATTACAAACAAACATTGCCCAGAGACCATATTGTAAAATATCACTTAGCTCTGCCAACCATTGTTTCAAACACTGCTTTTGGTACCAAAACTGTGCAAGTTCACAGAATGAGACTAAAACATATTAAATTGTCTAAGACCTAGATATTCTACTGTATGTTTCAGTTTTTAAAAAGCCTCCAAACACTTCACAAGCATTATTCCTTTATATTCCTAATGGCACACAAAAATATTAAAAGTGCACAAATAGGTAGTGCAAATAAGGATAATCACATGTATATTTTAGTACTTATTCTTCAACCAACCTTTGTATTGAGAGGAACATGGCTAGTCTGTTATTTAATTAATATCTAGGCTCAAAGATCACCCTTTGCTTTTCTTTAATTTGATAAAAGAAAAGCCTTCTTTCTGGATTAACACAAATATAAAATGGAAAGACTGTGGAACATAAAGGCCATGGGTTGCATTTTACACTGGATAGGTTCTGGTTGAATGAGATCTGGGATGTGTGCCAAATTAATAGAAAAAAAATCCTGTTCTTCCTCTCCAATAGCCACAATGTTCATTATTAAGAAAAGCATATGAACCACAGGATTTGATTTTAATAACACCAATGTCTTCATTAATCTGTACTTTCCATTTAGCCTCATTATTGAGTAAATGCTGAGTTAATGCAGCACCTATTATTGTTGGATTTTCCCTGGAAAAAAACCCTCTTTTCCCTCTTCTTTTATCATTCATTCAAGGACTATCAGGTGTGTGTGTCATGTTTTTAAACAGGCCAACGGCTGTCAATGGCTGTTTTCTTACCTCAGGTCTGGGAGGCTACTTTAGTAATGTGCTGTCTACAAAGGAGATGGAACCCTCCCCCACCCCAATAAAATAGCTTTTAGTTCAAAACCATATTTATTTTGGTGTTGTTTTAAACGCTGTCATGTCAAGAGACCTCTCACTATCACCTGCAACTGAGCTGATCTTTCCTAGATGTTCCAGGGGCCTCCTTCTAAATCAAGAGCACTGATAGCCAACACTGCTTTGTATCTGCCGAACAAATAGTGGCCTTTTGTCCAGCACAAGTTCCTAAACAAACTTAATCTCTCTAACACTGTGACAGATGACATTTAGATGTCCTTGTTACCCTTAAAATGAGTTTTATTGACAATCAGAGAACAAAAAGAAGGCCCAGATAAAGCCCAATGTTTTATAGGCCTGCTAACAACATCTTAGTTCTTAGTGCAGAGGGTGTAGAGAAAGCCTGAAGTTGCCCCCATTTTCCCCTGCTTTGCTATATCACCATGACAACAGATATAGAAATCACTTAGTGACTCCTAGAAAGAAAACACAGTGACACAGTACCCCTTGTATGGCGAATCAAACTAAAGCCTTCATTCAAATGGCTATTCAGCTTGGGCATTCATGTAGAGGATGGGGTGGATTTTACACAGGTAACAACAACAGAAAGGCCAGCAAGCACTCCAGCCACAGCATATGGTAAAGTCTCTGTTTAATTAATGCATCCTCAATAGAATTTATCCATTTTAAATTTGTTTTCTTTTACTTGAAACATCATTAATGTAAAGGGCAACATTAATCAACATCTTGCAACTTAAAAGGGCATTAAAGAGTGATCTTTTTCCCCCCTATGCAAAAGAATCTTTTCAAGTAGTTTTGCTAACTGCATCTGATTCAAGGCACATTCTAAGAGTTCTTCATCATAAGGCAAATCTAGAGAGGCCTCTACTGGCCAGTTTCACTATGTGCAATTTTTTATTTGTAAGTGACTTGGAAAAGCAAGTAGTAAAATGACTACAAGTTTTTATCTTAAAGTTGCACGCAGAACAGATTACTGATAAATATATTGCGTAAAATACAGAATAATTGTGATTTTTTTCTTAAGCCATCACATGCAGTATAAATTTGCTTTTTTTAAAAAAAGTAAGGAGACTGTAAAAGTTGATCCCAGCTGTGATGTATGTGCCTCTATGACATTTTAAGATATTTTAAGATTATATGACTAAAGTCAATGAGTAATCATTTTTCTTTGTGCACAGGACCCCATGTAACTTTGGGATTTAAAACCATTCAAATATGGATTTTTTGCATGCATATGGCATTTCATATGTGCATTTCTCCTAGCTCAAGCAAAACATACATCAACGCTCAAACAACTTAAACTGAGAGCACTAAAAAAAGAAGTTATTGAAAGCCTGGAGAAGAGGGTTCCATGGTGACAACATAAAGACAGAGAACTTCAAAATCTTCCATTTGGGTTCCTGTAAGTAGCATTTAACATTATGAACAACCATGTATTTTGTGCTAATAAGATTGCATTTCCTTCTTTAAAAACAAAATTTGAAGAGTGAGACATTTTGTTCATGAAAAATGAAGATATTTAGAATTAAATGCATAGACTTCTTGTTTTTTTAATTTAGTGCAAATCATATGCCAGGGTAGAAGCACCCAGGAACTGAATTTTACTAATGGGCATCAAAACAACCCACTAGCCACAGAAGATGTAACTCACTGGAGATTATCCATTTTCCATAAGTGTTGAAACTTCCTATCTAAACAATGATGGGTTAAACAGACATATCTTTAATCTAACAGAAAAAAGCATAACAAGATCTGAATGGTTGAAAGCTGAAGGTAGACAAATTAAGACCAGAAATAAGGGGCACATTTTTGACAGTGAGCGTAATGAACCATTGGAACAACTTGCCTTGGAATGGGTAGAGACTATCACTAGAGGTCTTTAAATCAGGACTGGATATCTTTCTAAAAGATACACTATAGCCCAAACAGAAGTTATGGGCTTAATCAGAAATCACTGAGTAAATTTCTTTGGCCTGTACTATGCAGGAGATCAGATTAGATTATCATAATAGTCCCTTCTAGCCCTAAAGTCTATTAATACATTCTAGTTTTCAAAAAGGTGCCCAACACCTATAGCACATCGTACACAGTGCTATTTCTGATTATAAACAATTACAAAAACTTTTTAAAACTTGTAAGCTATAATAGATTTTTTTTAAAATCAAGATTTTTAAAAAAAAAATCAAATAATGAAAATAAGATTACTCCCATAAATATACTATCATGTGTTCAACAACCTTCCATAGCTGTCATGAAAATTTATCAGCCCTGACCCAAAATCTACTTTCCTGTCCTTTACCTGAGTGACAATTACAACAACAACAAAATAATATATGTTTCACTCTCCTATTTTAAAAAAATTACATGCCCTGGATAAATGAGAGAGCAGAATTTTAACAAGACTGGACCAGCCTGTATTTTCTTCAAGACATCCCATATTCAATTAACCTATTTTCCACATATCTTTACATAATCATAAACTAATTTTAATCTAAGATTACCTTAATGATACCTCTTTCAAGGGAAAGATGGGTTGGGAAAAGAGGTGTCATATAGGCATCTAGTTAATTTAATGTACACTGTCAAGCATCTTAAAAAAAAAATACACTGAAGGCCTGAGGTTGCCACCTTGCAGTCCCAGCAGTGACACCTACTGGGACAAACAGGGCCTGAAACAGCTATAAATTTCCCTTGGCTTTGAAAGTACAATGTAAGCTTTACTCTATAACTATAAAGTACCACAAGTTACAGTATTACAGTTTATTTAGAGACAAAACTGCCTCTTTCATTATTGAAGCAATAAGGAGTGGGAAAAAACCCTGTTAAATCTCATCAGTTTAATTAAAACAACGAGGAGCCCAGTGGCACCTTAAAGACTAACAGATTTATTTGGGCATAAGCTTTCATGGGTAAAACCCACTTCTTCCTGAAAGCTTATGCCCAAATAAATCTGTTAGTCTATAAGGTGCCACCGGAGTCCTCGTTGTTTTTGTGGATACAGACTAACACGACTACCCCTCTGATACTCAGTTTAATTAGGAAAGTGAAGGAGCCAATAGCCATGTGAATAGACAATATAATATGCCACTGTCATCTACAAGATGTCACACAAAAAATATTACAGATTTTGTAAGTCATTCCAAAAATGGTACCTTCAGCAGTTTGCTAAACAGCTACATATACTGAATATGCAAAATATTGTATGTTACCAGAAAAAATTCTTAGGTGGTTTCCAATTAATCTAAATGTTTTATGTACATGTTGACATATGATCAGAAGCTAAAATTATTATATCGGTAGCACCACAAATGTCTATGCCACAAATGATCAGAAGCTATAATTATTATATCGGTAGCACCACAAATGTCTATGCCACTTTATTGAACAAATAAAATACATGACCTATTCCCTGAAGAGCTTACACTCTAAGATCCAATCCTACAAACAAGTGACCACATGAGTAGTCCTTATTCAAGCAAACAGCTTTATTGGAGTTAGTGGAAGTATTTGGATGAGTGAGGACCAGTCACAAGAGTAAGATTTCACAGGATCAAGCCCTACAGTTATTGAGTGAAAACTGACAAAACTGGGTTGCAGGGAAGGGTAACGTAAATAAGGTAACATAGTTGTGTATGTTTGGAATGGTCACCTATTGACGGCTCCGGAGTTTGTTTGCTTCTTAGAAATGTGGTTGCATCGTTATATGACCAATTTTTTTAGTCAAAGTCTTTGTCTTCCTCTAGACCCTTGTGGCACCAGCCATTCTGAAAAAGGTCAATAAAAATATTACATATCAATCCAGATTGCCAGCAACCCATGCATGCCTTTAATGCCAGCCTAATAATTAATAATAATAAAACAGTTTTAAGAATATTGATTGGATGCATTTCATAGAGGAATCTCTGGAATGTAGTAATTTCCTGGCAGATACAGAATGACATAGTGAAGGTGCAAGGAGAACATTTAAATTGGTTGATGTTTTTAAAGTTGTTTTGGTTTGGGGGGGTTATTCGGGTTTGTTTTTCACATTGACTTCACTAGCTCTATTTTAAAAAGTTACTAGATTGTGAGCCATCAGTCAATTCATTTTTAATGTTAACTGAACTTCCATGAAATAATTCTGTGTGCTACGGTAATTAGAAAGTGAACTCATAATTACAATCTAACAAGTGCTCTTGTGCATTTTTGGTATCAGACAGACTGGAAACCTCATGGAGGATTCCACAAGGGACTGCCATACAAATGACCTGGAGACCTGTTTTCATGGATGAAGCTAGGATAGCATCTCCTGCATTTCCGTCATGATCCTCTGACAGATATGCAATTTACTTATTATAATGAAAATCCAGAATTAATAATCTGGAAGCTATGCAGCCACAAAGAGAAATGTAATCATTATTTAAAACATTTCTTTTTCAACATACCTGTAAATGAAGTAGAATCCACTGTGCTGAAGAGCATAGAAAATGATTATGTATAAAACTATTTCCTAATTTATTTATTTAAAAAAAAAGCCCAAGAGTCTTAACTACAAATCACTTTTACGGAAAAATTTCTCTCTCTGGTCCCAGAAAATATTAAATATGCAAGGGAAATATAGTATGTGGGCTATATAGGACATACATACCTAGTGGAAAGAATAACATTTAAAAATACTTTTTCATGATCATGCTCTGGAAAGAGGATATGCAGAACTGTTTACAAATAAGTTACATTTAAATATAAATTGGATATGAAATATGATCCAGTCTACAAGCATACTGGGAATGAATCCACAATTAATGTCCAAAGTATAGAACTCTTACTTCATTAATTACATATTGATATATGAGATACCACATGTTTGCTCTATGGTATCCTCATATCATAATATTAATATGTTAAATGAGAAGGACAAAGTAAGTTAATGGAAACATAATATAGTAACAGCAAATAAATGACAGTAAAATAATGGGTACAAACTAGAAGCAAAATTCGTTGGATTGTACCCTCATGGTTAATTTGTGGCAAAAATTAAACCTCTGGGGAGAAAGAAGCAAAATTAGGTAACTGCAAAATGGATTAAGTGTTCCTGAATACCTGAACTAGTAATGCACTTAATATCTACAACAGCCAGGAAGACTGATTCTGTTTTTTTTCCCTCAGAAAAGTCCATCTACCCTTTTCAGGAGGGATTTGCACAGTATACAGCTCCAAAGAGCCCAAGAGCTGACAGAGGAAAATGGCATCCAGCAGCACAGGGCAGCCTCGGCAGCCCATCAAGAGCAAAACCACATAAGAGAGCCAGAGGCAGATCCAGAGCTGCCAACACAACTGCCTACAAAAGCTGCCAAGGAGACAGAAGCTGCTTGTGGGAAAATATCACTTAGTCTTAGCATCTGGGTCCTATGATTATTATCCAAAGAGAGACAGAGTGGTAAGCTATGGTGAGATAAACAGCACCTCGTTCCTCCTTTACCCCGCCACCCCCACACACCTCTTTTCCCCCACACTAGATACACCTGTATAATTTCAATTTTGGCTGTGTTTTAAATCCATTTCTGCAGACAGGTTTGGTAAAGGGACACTTGCCTACACTCAGTGTATGAGACATAGTAGGGCTATTTGTTACTGTTGTTGTTATGTTTGTCCTGAAATGTAAGCATGTTTACAGTAGAAATGAAGTCCCAGCTCTCTTGCAGGTAATCCCGGGGAGTCTAAAAGGCTCAAGGGAATCCCTAACCGGGATGCTTTAAAATGAACTTCTGCTCCTGTCCAAATACATTAAAACAGGGTCAAATGTTTAATTTGATTTTTCCTCATCTTCGGGAAGAAAACAGACCCCAAATCCCTAAAAGTTCTAGGATCAATTCTCTCCTCTATCTCACTTATTATTTTTTTTCTGAAAGGGAGAGAGGACATAGAAAAAGAAGGGTGCTCTACCCACATGTCGTTTACAGTATGTGAAAAAGAGAAATAATGTTTTTGCTGGCTAGTAAATAAGGCAAAGTATTTGCTCTCTAAGGTGACACATGCAACAATAACAACCAAAAAACAACTTACGGTAATATAAAGGCTGGAGAGATGTTATGGTTAGTTAATAGGCCCTAACTTCTCAGAGTTATATCCACAGTTGTGCAGACAATTTTGCAATCACAAGCTTTTAGATCCATACGTTTTCATATTCAAGCTACTTCTTCACTCTGTGGAAGAAAATGATTTCTGTTTTAAAATATATGGTATTATCTTCTTACAGTAAATTCATGTTTTTTTCTTCAGAACTTTATTAGTAGAGCTTCAGTATAATCTGTGCTGTTGTCAGAACTGCAATGAATACATTGCAAACTATTGAAACAAATCAGGACTGTCACTCTACTTCATTATAAGGAGAGTTCATTTATATGTGTGATCCCCATAAAGGGGTTTGCAACATATCTGTAGAGTGTGGAGTCACAATTCCAAATAGCATGATATGTAAAATGCAATCTATTGGTATGTTTTGAAAAAACTCAATTTTGCTGAACTGCATCTGAAATGATTAAAGAATATAAGTAGTTATTTTAGTATATATTTTGAAGTTGGGCAAATCTGTGTGGGTATGCATACAGATTCAAATGTAGTGTTTTAAAGTAAAAGTATAGAATATTTTTACTAAATGGTAAGTATTTCCAGTGAGGAATAAGGGTCTTACATTAATCTAAACAAAAACCATAGGAATATCTGTGATCCACACATACATTTAAGAGTATAACTGGAAGAAAATATCCAAAGGAGACTAACCAATAACATAAGAGGACCTACAGCCTGGAGTTACTCTATAATAACCCAAGAATCATGGATTTAATGCCACAATCTGTTTTTTGTTTTGTTTTGTATTTTTAATTCTCACCAAAAGAAGATACTTTGATTCTAATGATGGACTCTTTTGATTGATGGACCATTTGATAGAATGTTACTGAGAGATTGTTATTTCTGTTCCCGTGTAAACAAGTACATTCCAAAACCCATTTAAATTTATAGTATTATTTATACCATTATTAAGCAAAATGGCAAAAATATTATTAAATTGTTCCATCGCTTCCCTTTTTATTATATAAGATCAAAATTCAATATGAACATGTCTAAATGCAAAGCGAGGCTCAGTTCTTAGAGAAAGCTAATGTATATATGACTGGCATTAGTCAGCCTTACCCTGGAAGACAAAAGGAGAAGTAAATGTGAAAATATGTTGTTTTAAACAAAGAAAGGGTTTTAAAACATCATTTGTGGGTACTGCTTGTGCTTTGTGAATGCAGCTTTAATATTTTTAAAAGATGAGTATGAAAGATTGAATTTGATATTTCTGAGCATGTTCATTTCGAAAGAACATATCAGAGGCAACATAGTGTATATATCAGATGGTGCTGTGGGTTACTGTGTTCTCCATTAAAAAGAAAAGTAAATAGTCATATAAAATGTGTTCAAAAGGCTAGAGTTCAAGTCAGACCTGTTCCTCTTGTATGCTTTAATAAGCATTATTTTTTAAAGCCACAGTGTAGTTTAAAAAAAGCCACAGGATTTTTTATTTTTTATATAAAGATTCCATATATCAGCAGGTTTTACTTCTTTTTTTTTGCAGTGGGAAGTGGTCCATATTTGGTATATTACTTTATTCCAATGATTTTGCCTCCTTTAAGTTTTGTTGGCATGCAGATCTTGCCTGCATTCTATAATTTCATATTTCATTCCATTTTAGTTACAACAAACCCTGTATGCAAGCTGCATCGTGATATTATTTGCCCTTTATTTTCTGAAAGTCTTGCACAATTTCTTGAATGCTGGAATATACATTTTTAATAAGCAATTGTTTAATAAGACAAAGTTTGAGCACTCAGGCCCAAATGATCCAAATACAACATGTCATTTAAATGGTTGGTTTAATTAGCAATACGAGGTATCTTAGTTTACCATTTTATAAGTAGCCTCTATCATTTAACCCTTTAATGTCTTATAGTTCTGTTACACTAGAAGGGTAAAAAGAAAACTGTATAAATTCTATTTAGTAAAGCCAATAATGTATATTCACTTAAGAAAAAATATTTGAAAATTGTTTTTCTCCCTCACATACATTCACATGTATAGAAAGATCACTATGCTTTTAAAGAGTCAGACATTTCTTTTTCCTTAAGACACCAGCTGAAACTACAGAGAACTAGTTAGGTTCACACATTCTATGTTCATCCTGTATTCTCTGAAAGAACTGTCCAAATTGTATTAGGATTTGCTTATAATGATGTTATATGATGTCCTTGTTGTGATACCTGCATATGTGGAGAACTTAATATTGATTTACTGTGTCTTTTGCCTATCCTTGAGCAGCATAGATAGCAATTACAGCTGCTGGTGGTATCTATTTTGTCTCTTCATAATTGTCATTTCTGGTTCTACTTAAGATTAAAATATGAAAATTGCATCAAATGTACACGAACAGCGCATTAGCCAAGTTATCAGCAATATCCTGGCACAGCCATCATTTTAACCACCATTCCCTACATTTTATTTATGAAAACTGCATACTGTAATATAAACTTTTAGGAGGAATGCATCATAGAATGAGCTTCCTTGACAGAAAGTCCTCATCCAGATCATTAATATATTCCTAAGAAATCATCAGGGATTGTCCAACACCTGTACAACTGCACCAGATGTTTCTGAGTAGTTTTGTTTGGCTTGCAGTTTGATATTGATTAGCTTAGAAGCTGCTTCCCCATACTGTTATAAAATAATTTGCAAGTGTCTTTTTTTTTTAGAGTTTTGTTCACCAGAATTTGCTTGGTTGATATGAGATGTGCATTATTAGACACGGTATAGGAGGTTTTAAAAAGAAAACAGGGGATACTAACATGGACAGTAGAAGACTGCTTATGGTTAGTAGTGGTCAAAAAGTCACATGCAGATATTATAGTGTAAGGAGAGGGAAATAATTTGTATTGGGAAACGGCAGCAAATGTTTTCGAACTTTCCAGGTTTTTGTTTTTAAAATAATTAACTTTTTTAACTCTACTAGCCTGTCAAAAAGGGTAAAGAAAGAAATTCTTGTGTAGTGCTGACTTGGCAGTGGTTTCTTTATAGTCTGTTCATGTGCAAGACACAGCTGAGATAATGGAGAATAAACATTACACAAGCCATCAACCTTATCTGCCAATCCTCCCAAGCAGTACATTTTATCATTTGTTAATGAAGTGAATGTCCTATTTTAAAATGAAGTTGAACAAAATAAAATAGGGGGGAGAAGAGTCAATTATTTATTTATTTATTTATTTATTGCTATGGCTGGTATTTAAAGTATCTTTTTCACACTGCACTAGGATACATTTAAGAACAATTAAATACCATCTAATAATTAATGTATGTGCAATCTATAGCATGCATTCTCTTCTTATTAGAGTCTGTGGTTTTTTGTTGCAATCTAGCTAATAAAGGCTTTCTTTTACACAAGAGAATTTTGACAGGGTTGACTCCAGACGGCTTTCCAGCTGAGGTCTGGGGCCTTGCTGAACCTTCAAAATTTTCCCATTTGAGCTGCATCAAAGTGAAGGAAATTCAAGGATCACTAACGTCTCAGATGGTAGCACTTGCCCTAACAACCAAGGTTCAGGAATTCTTTGGAGCAGGCTGAGGTCATTTTTCTCCCCTTTTCTCCTAATGCTTTTCTCTATTAATCAGAGCTCACAGCTCAGATTGGTCTTCAACTTCCTCCCAATCCTCGCTAAGCCTGTCATTTCTAGCTATTATTTACTTTAATGGACTTTGGCTGATCCCTTATGAAGCTTTGGATCTGAGAATAATAAGGCTGGAGAGTAACGGGCACAGACATGGGTGTGGGTTTGCCTGCAGATTAACCGTGGCAGATGGGCTTTATTGCGGTTTCCTGTGTGCCGAGTGTTGATTGAGAGGATATAATGAGAGAGGTGGTGTCTGCACAATGGCTGCAGCCACTTCATTGCACCTCGCGTCTAAACAACCCCATTTTTCTAAATCTTTGGGTTGTGAAATTTTAGGAAGTCAGAGCACAAGAACAAGTACAAAAACAACTGTAAATAACCATGAATGTTAATCTAACCCTAATTGGTCCCTTCTTTCATTATGGGTACATTTTGCTCATTTTTTTAAGTATATTAATTATATGGACAGTTATACGTAAATTTGACTTTTATATCAGTTTAACAGAAATTTTACTGCATAGCAACTTTGTTATTAATATTAATGTCCCATTAATTTCCATCATTAACACTGGCTGCAAAAGCTTACCTTGCAATCATCTTGTTATGCCTTAGGTTTTTGTCATCTAGGATAAATTTGTTTGAATTAAATTATCTATTGTCTAGAGAATATAAAAAACAAACAGCAGGAAAATTCCTTAATTTCTGGCATAATGTACCAAAATAATTTTGTATTTTATTTTACAGATCAAATGCAGGTATAGCTCTCAACTGCAATCATATGACAAAAATATTTTTATTGTCTAAGTACTATCAAAAGATTTTTTACACATTTCCCATTTAAAAGATTTTACTTAATTCCTCCCTTTCACTGATGGATTAAATCACACCTATTGATTCTTTTCTTCCTTTGGGGCTTTACCCATCTGTCTTAACTCTTTCATCCCAGCACCCCTTGGGCTGAGAGAAGTGCTCTACAAATGAACTGCTGAAAACCTGGAGAAGATTCCAGGTCAAGTTTGTGTACAAGAGTTTAAATTTTTAGTGACAGTCTTCCCTTACTGCAGTCTGAAAGTTTCCACACAGCGCTGCACAAGCACCACCAATTATCCTCCTCCTTTGAAAACCATTATCAAGTTTTTCAAAACTTCTTTCATTTCACTGTTGTCATTCGATGAAAAGGAAACTAACCACCATGTCAAGACAACTCAGCTGCCTAGCAACCACGGGCCACGTTTTAATTCTGACTTGCTTCTGGTCTTGACTAATGGAAAGGGACTATGTTAAGCCAGTCAGAAGAGTTGTTTGTCACTTCTGAATTGCAAACAAAACTATATTGTTTTCAAAAATACCGGGTGTGATTGATGTAAAGATTTACAGTAACATCATTCATTTTCCCTTGTGTTTTAGTGGGATTGATGTCATATCTTTTCATGCTTTATTAAATGCTTTAGAAAAGCTTAGAAACATGACTTTTTTGTCCTAAGGAGTCTAAAGCGTTTTTTCTTCTTATTCGAGTGAACTAGACTCCAACAACTTGTGAAATTTAATGAACCTATTCAACATGTGTCTGCCACATCAATAAATAATTTAATAAGAAATCATCAGCCACGATGGGGGAATGCATTTCAAAACAATAAAAAAAAGAACAGGACAAACCAAAATCAACCAATCATCAGAAGAGAAAAAGATGTTAAGCTGCCAAATTGCAGGCATTAGAATTCATTTTATCAAACTTTCCCACAATTGTTTAATCTTTTACTTCTGATATTGAGGAAAAATTTGATTGTCCTGTGCACTGTTTTAATTGTAAATATATGCAGATACAAATATAAAGCTCATGTCTATTGCAATATAATGTAATTGGAAACATTACAAGTAACATCAGTGTTAATTATCTTGACAAAGTGTAACTATGACTGATCGTAAACAAGCTGGTTAAACCTATTTGAAAGTCATTTTAAAAAAAAAGAAAGAAAAAGAAAAAAGTACTTCTGTTGTTATGTTCCGAGATTCTTTTTATAAAAGCTTGGTCAAGTTTTCTATTCAGTTCATAACTGACCAAAAGTGGATGAGTGAATCTACAGATAATTTCCTCTTCTGGATATTTTTATTGATATTTTTCATTATACTTGCAGTAGATACAGGATCTATAGAATTTTCCCCAAAAAATGATGATGAAAAGGAAACCATGGCTAGCGAGCAACTCATTTTCTGTACTGTATTGCAGTAATATAAAATCAGTCTTTAAAATTCCATTACTCTGTAAGGTAATAAGAATAATTTAATGATGAGTGGGATACTGCTCATAGGTTCTTGTAAGTATAAATATAAAAGTATAGTTGGCATGTCAAACCTGTTTTCCAACATCAGAGTTTCCTCTTGCTGTTCTGGCCTTAATCAGCCACACTTATCTAAAAATAGCACCTCTTACTATTGTTATACACTTTCTAAATGGGGGGATTGACATTTAATGCAGAACACTAATATAGCACATGCCTTAATTTTAATTGTCAACTGAGGATAAGATAAATGGTATGGCATATAAATTGGAGGGACTGGATTGCAATCTTGAGTGGGACAAGTGAAGGGTGGGCATGAGCAGGAAAAAAGCCTGCAATCTAACCCGCCTTGAACTCCTGCTGCTCCTTGGCCCCGATAACATGAGGCAAGGTGACCGCATATCAAACCAATAAATCTATTTTATCATACTATGATAAAACAACAACACCGCTGTTGTGCCGAGAACCCAATGGGAGTTGGGTCATTACCTCTTAAGTAACCGGACTTCACAACCCAGCTGCAAAATCCAGAACCTGACTGACCAGCTCAGTGGCGGTGGCAGTGCCTCCTAAAAGCAAGTATTATAATGGAAAACTTCCCCTTCTTCCTTTATGTGGCTGTGACAGCCAGACCTGCCATTCAAACTACCACATACCACCAAAATGCCATTTGGACCCTGGTCCCAGTAGTGACACATCATTGACCTCACTGCTTCACCTGCTGCCATGGTCACATGTGCAGCATTCTCCATGCCCTTTCTGGGGGGATATGCTGCAAGAGGTGAGAAAGCTGAGGGTGAGAACTGAGCATAGAGAACCTAGAGCCAACTGGGTCTGTCAGATAGCTCTGCTTTTCAGCTCAGAGAAAAGGCAGCAGCTGTGCTTCAGGTTCCATGGAGCCTGGATGCTGAGTTGACCTTGCCACGATAACCCTCACTACCTCCAGGTTGGACAGCATATCCACAATCAAACACACTCAAAATGGTTAAACTAGACAAAGAAAGAAGTTGAGCTTGAGATTTCAGCTCATCCAAGAAGAGATGAATACCATCGCCAGAACAACCAGGACAATCACAGGGTGCAGGCTTGCTTGACCCACCATGTAACTACTCCTTGCCAAGCAACAGAGGGCACTTGCTGCCACAACCAAACATGATGGCATTGTCTTCAGAATCTTCATAGGGATTTGGAACAGCACCTGACTCCCAGCACTCAAATATTTCCCTGGCAGCCATTACTTTGGCCTCGGCCCGCACCACTTCCAGCAGCTCCCATTGGCCTGGAGCAGCAAACCGCAGCCAATGGGAGCCGCGATTGGCCGGACCTGTGGACATGGCAGGTAAATAAACCGGCCCGGCCCACCAGGGGCTTTCCCTAAACAAGCGGCTTCCCAAGTTTGGGAAACACT